AGTTTCTCAGGGTCTAGAGAAAATTATATAAATAGTTGAGGGTCATTCATTCCCTCTTTTTCTCACCATTAACCTAGTTCTGTCTTCCCACATTTGGTTAACTAATTGTTTTATAGATCCACTTGTCTTCCCCCTGTCCTTCTATTCATCCCTGCATTCATCCATCTCTCCATCCACCCAGTCATCTTCCCATCCCTCAACCAATTATAGCCTAGTTCCTTCTTTCTACCATTCCAGTTCTTTTACAAATCCATTCACTACCCATCCACCAATTTCTCCTAGTTGTCTATCCATCCAACTATTATTTGCAGAGTCAGTAACTGAGACTCATAGAGGGAGTAAGATACCACCCATATCTTTGAGGAACTCATAGTCTGGTAGGTGGGAAAAATCACATAAACAAAAAATATACTGTTATCTATACACACAATTTGTGATGTGAGCCCGGAGAACAATGACTTATTATGCGTGTTGAGAGAGTGGGAAGGTTTCACAAAGGAGTTAACTGAAAGAAGGTTTTGAAGGATGATTAGGAGCCAAGTGAGGGGAGGGGTGAAACTCAGGGTTAAGAAAGGAAGAGAGGAATTCCAGGAAGAGCAAACATCAGTGAAGTTGGACTGAGCACACTCTGAGTCCAGGTGAGTACAATTTGACTGTGGGGTCTGTGCATATGGCAAAAACCTGAAGGTGGGCCTGGAAGGGAATTGGGGATCAGCTGATAAAAGGCCTTGTGTCTAGACAAAGGGAGGCCAGGGAACCCACTAAAGCAGGAGACAGACACAGTGCTCTCCGTTTATGGGCTCACTCTGACAGTGAAGGAGAGGGCAGAGCGGGGAACAAAGGCTGCAGGCTGGCAGACCAGCCAGGAGCCCGTGTGCAGCAAGCAGACTGCAGTAAGGAGGGTGAGCCCATTCAGGGACTGGCAGGTTCTATGAGGATGGAGAGTCAAGGCTGCTTTGGGACACATGAGGTGAATAGAATCAGTAGCTGGGAAATAGACAAGAGTCTTTGATCTGGGTTTTGGTTGCACAGGGATGCTCTGTTTGTGAAAATTCAGTGGGGTGTATATTCATGGTGTGTGTGCTATTGTGTATGTATGATATATTTCAATTAAAACAATAAAAGTAGAGTAGGAAACATCAGGAGACATATTAAAGTTTCTCATCTGGGCCTCATCCAGGACACTGAAGTGGGCTGACCAAATTTTTCTTATAAATTGAGAGCTCTACCCCTAGTTTGGAGGAAAGAAGAGAAGGAAGAAGCTCTAACTTTTGAGCCAGGCCTTGCAAAATGAGTGAAATTGGCTTATACTCATCATAGTTACTGCCACCTATTAAGCTCTTATATTTTGTGGATTCTAAGGCACACTTTTTTTTTTTTTTTAACATCTTAATGTCTCTAAAACCAGGATACATTGTACAAAAAGTGATGTCATAGTTAATTTAATTAATTGGTAGTGTTTTCTGTTTCTTAGAAGTACTTAAAATTACGGTGTCATTATAATCCATGGAGACTTCCATTCAAGAGCCATGATATCTTGTGCCAGGCTCTCTGCTAAGTCCTGCTACACATTTCTCATCGAATCTCACAACAGCCTGTGAGTCATCAGCTGTTGTAAGCCCTGTGTCATAGATAAGGAGTCCAGGTATGATGTAGGTAGGTCACTTGCTCTGGGTCACAGCTAGTAAGAACTCGATTTAGGATTTCAACCTGTGCCACCTCAAACATTCGGGAGAACTGTGTACAGAGCAAGATCAAGTCGGGCTGGGAGGGTTGTTGGAACTTCCCAAAGCCCAAGACTAACCAGGTCAAGGGTGACCCCCATCATCTGCCCACCAGGCTTACACTCTGCCACTTGCACCCAGGACCCGTTCCTGCTCTTAGCCCTAAACCTTGGGATTCCTTTCTCCATCTCCCAGGACAGCTCTGGCTCTAATATCTGTAGTGACTCCCCTCCCCTGCAGAGAGGAGGGGACTGCAATGAGATCTCATGGGCATGGGGGAAACATTCTAAGCCCAGCTGGTTTCCCTCACACAATGCAGATTTGCTTAAATGGGAATTAGGATTAGTGCTGGGTTTTGCCTCTTCTGGCAGGCTGGTAATAAACTAATCTCCTCTGAGGCTGCAGGAAGGCAAAATTCCACCAAAGACGGGAGACAGCTTAAGGCTCTGGAGCGCAAAAACTGGAAAGTAATTTTGTTATTGACAGGCGCTGCCCACACCTCTTGACATGCAGCCCGCAGCTCCTTCCCGGCGTGGCTGCAGCTTTTAATTCCGTTAATGTGTGACATTCACCCAGGCTGCGTGGCTGACAGGCACTCTTGACACTAATACGTGTTCTGTGCAGTCCCTGGAGCTCATAAAAGCTCATTATCAGTTCTGAGCCAGTAAATGCAGTTCCTGGCTCAGGTAGGCCCGAGTTCCTCTGCGATGCTCCAGACAGTAGAGCAGGGACATCTGCGCCAGCCAAGTCCCACACGCCTCCCTTTGTCCAGGGCCCTCAGCCTCCCAGGCCACTGGGAGTGCCTAGGAAAGCCATTCCATAGGCAGAGCCCTGGGTTCAAATTTATATCCAAGAAAAGGGGTTCCTTCTGCCCTGCTCTGTGAACTGACTCAATCCAGCGTTTTGGGAAGTCAGTTTGTCAGCACTACCCAAAGGCAGAATGTGGCCAGCCTCTCCTCTGCCCACTTCTAAGCATCTGGGCTTTGGAATTGCAAGAACATTTCTACACCAAGATGGGCACCCAGGGGGTCATTCCAGCGAAGCTATAGAGGCCAGAAATAGAAATATTTGACAGAGCCACGGTGGGAAATAAACAAATGGTAAATAAATTATGACCCACATGTACTATGGGATACTGTGCAGCTATGAAAAGGACTCAAGAAGATCCATTTTGGACGTGATATCTTTGACAAGTGATGTTGTAGAATGTGTGTGGTAAGATCCCATTTTTGTAAAAAGTCACACTGCATGTGTAGTCACATAGGTTCGTGCTTATACACACATGCATACATGCATTTGATTAGGTAGAATAAAGTCTAGAGGGTCTCACTCCAGAGTGTTTGCAGTGGTTCTACCTGTTAAACAGGATGGCTGGTAAGGAAGCACATACACTTTTGTAGTTAAAAATGAAAAATTTACATATATATACAAATAACTTGCCGAAGGTCATACCTATATATACACACATATGTGTGTGTGTGTGTGTGTGTGTGTGTGTGTGTTTATGGGTTTATAAATGTAACAAATTCCTCTGATTGTAGCCTTAGTCCGGTTCATGATGCATGAGGTCCCTCTGCACTGACACTGCCTGGATGGACACTTGAGGCCCAGATAGCCAAATAAAATGAGGTCCCATCCTCCAGCCAATCCCTGTTTCCCATCAGTTAACGGAAGTCCTGAGACTCCCTTGCATGCATGAGCTGCCCTGATGCTGGGGTCTGTGGGGTAGACCTTGAACTCATCGCCTTCCTGCTTACGCGCCTCCCACTGTGGAGATGGCACTAGCACCAGGCTTCCCATGGCTGAAGTTCTAGTCCCAGCTCTAGAACTAGCACTAGTTCTAGTCCCAGCACTAGAACTTCCCATGGCCGAAGTTCTAGTCCCAGCTCAGTCTCATTTCAGTGGTGTGACCTTGGGCAAGTTATTTAACTCCTCTGAGCTCACGTTCCTCATTCCTGAAATGGTGACACTTTCTTCTGGGGTCGTAAGGGGTGTCAGGATGATGATCATCATCATCCGAGAGACCTGAAACTTGATCAGGGTTTCCACTGTGCAGCTAGTCTCTGAGGGCAGGAGGAGCCTGGGAGCGGAGAGATGAGGGAACTTCGCTTTCTCCCCTGTGCTCTGGAGGCTGTAAGTTTTGCTGTTATTTCTCAGCTGTGCATGTGACTGAGCCAGTCTCTCGGGACTGGCCTGTCTCTGCTGGCAGGTATATGGCCTGGACCTGGTGAATTTGATCCTTCTCTGGTGACCTGGGGATGCTTCATCAAACTGACAGAAGGGAAGGGTTGGAGAAGCTGGACTTCTAACCCCACTGGCATTCTGGAACTGAGTTCTTTTTTCACCACCAGAGGCTTTCCTTACTGTTACTTATCTCTTCATGGATAGCAGACCTTGAAAGTGTTGGGTCTGCTCAAAGAGTCTGCATTCATTAGGCAATGATTAATTCTTTTTCCTGTTTTCAAAATGACTCAGAAAGCCTTTTTTTCAGCCTAAGGAAACCGGAGTTCCCACACCAAGTTGATAATATTCTAGCTAGAAGCAAAGAAACACAGTGTGATGTTTTGATTAGCATGTTCAATGCCATCACATGGATGTACAGGCTCCGGGCTGACTTGGGAGGATTGAAAATATGCCCCCATTCACAGGCTCTGGAGATGCTATCCTGGGAAGCTTTGTGGGGCTGGTACTTAGTCTTGCCTTTCTAGCTGTATTAGTCCAGTCTCGCACTGCTATAAAGAAATACCGGAGACTGGGTAATTTATTAAAAAAAGATTTGATTGGCTCACAGTTCTGTAGGCTGTACAGGAAGCATGACAGTATCTGCTTCTGAGGAGGCCTCAGGAAACTTACAACCATGGTGGAAGGGGAAGCACGCACAGTGACATGGTAGGGACAGGAGCAAGAGAGAGAGGGGAAGGTGCTACGCACTTTTAAACAACCAGATCTCACGATATCTCACTCAAGAGAACAGCACCGAGGGGATGGTGCTAACCCATTCATGAGAAACTATCTCCATCATCCAATCACCTCCCATCTGCCTGGATGGACATCTGAGGCCCCACCTCTGACATTGGGAATTACAATTCAATGTGAGATTTGGTGGGGACACATTTAAACCATATCACCAGCCATGGGTGCCCTGTCTGGCTTCTGTGCTTGCAGTGATGAAAGTAGGGAAAGGAGACCTTGGGGAGTGGGAGCCACATGTGGACTGAGGTGGTCCCCAAGGACTCCTGCCTTTTTGAAATGTGTTTCTCTCTCTTCTTTCTCTAGAGTGTATCCAGAAGCTACTGTCAGGAGGACACTGTAAGAGAAGCTTGGCACCCCTGGACCCAAAGGAAAAGACACCAGTGGAAAGAGGTATGAAGTGGCAACGTGGCAGGGTGGCATCTTCGCTTACTCGAACAAGAGGGTCTTCTCTTCTGTCTTCTGTTCCTGCCCTCCAAACCACCACTTCCATGTGAGAGGGCTCTCAACTCTTGCCCAAGGGGCACAGGGCAGGAGAAGGGTGGCTTCATTCTTCTCCTCACCCCTAGACATTTACTCATGGGTGAGGGCGATGGGGCCACCTTGGTGCAGGAAGTGAGGGTCGATGGATGGCAGGGAGTGAGCCCTTCAAGGAAGAGTAGAGCTCCTGGGGGCTCCAGGCAGGGTCATGAGGGCTCATGGAATCTGTGTCAAGGACCCCTCCCCGACCTCAGCCTCCCCCATACCCACCACAGTTTTGGGACTGTGAGAAGGAGATCGCTTCCTAGGGCAATTACCATCCCTCTGCCCTCGATTCTCTTTTGAACAAAGTCTAAATCCACAAGTACTAGGATCAATCACCACATTCTATGGTGAAACTGAGAACAGAAAAGCCTTGGTCTGCTTCGGAGGCTCTGGGAAGTCCTTCTTGAGCTGACCATGATTCTGGGACTGGTGATGGGCTGGGTGGCCTCATGGAAGCTTTCTGGATGAAAAGCCAAGATGTCTGTCCTCTGAGCAGCCTCGACCAACAGTGTGACTTATAAGTCATTTCCCTCATTGGGCCTCATTTTCTCATTGTAAAATGAGGCAGCTGCAACTTGAATCTCTGTTCTAGCACTCACATCCTCCATTTCTGGGATTCCAAGACCAGGACTGAAATAGAAGAAGTGACAGGTCAGGGGTTGGGAGGTTGTGGAAGGCCATGGAGAGGAGAGGGGATTCGAAAACTCCAAGGAGATCTGATGGCCTGTCTTAGGAAAGGACGATGGCTCCAACCCTTGGTGGTAAATCACAGGGTTTGAGGTCCAGAGGAACCTGGGTTTGAGTCCCTGCCTATCAGAAGAGAAACCAGCAATATGACAGAGGGCTTCATGCCCCAGGCACAGTGTGATGCTCATTTGCTGCACTATCCCATTCTGTCCTCTTAACTGTCCTGTCATCTTGCCACTGTGACCACCTCCACACTACGGAAGAGAAAACCAGGCCTCAGAGAAGTTAGGTGACTTGCCTAAGGTCACATAGCACTGAGTAATGTCATCGAGATTTGAAGCCACTGCCTGAACTGCCATACAATTCTTGTGTCTTTTGCTTACTAAAGTCTGTGACTTGAAGCTTAAGATTAAAAATAATTAGACAAATCATCTCTCTGAAGTTCCATTTCCCGTTAAAAACATAAAAATGGTTTGTTTCCTTGTCCTACACTTTTTTTTTTTTTTTAAATTTTGGGCATCTCACGAAATCCCTGCAGGCCTTGATATTCTGATCTCTAAAATGGGACAGTGACACTTACTCACAGGTTGCTTTGGGGAAGACGAGGAAGACTTAGGAAGCTCCCCGCACTGTTTCCTATACGTGTGCCCTCCACACCTACTCCACCTGCTTCCCCTGCCTGGGCTGCTGGCAGGTGTATAGGGTGTGCAGATTATGAAGTGCTGCACTACTGCCTAATGGTGTTTTCTATTTCGGCTGCCTCTGTGCCCATAGTCGGAAAGCACTTGGCCACTTTCTTAGTCACCAATCTGATAGTTCACTCGCCCTTCTGGAGTGTGCCGCTGGCTGCCCTAGATTATTTTAGGCTGGAATCCAAGACAGGGTGGCCGGCTCCCAGGGGCAGATAAAACAGGGCCAGGCTGAGGCTTTAGTGGACAGTGTGGGAGGAGCGGCGAGGCCTGGGGCCTGCTGGGGCTGTCCCTCACTGACAGCGTCTGTGTCCCACCCTGCCAGCTGCCAGGACCATAATCTTAATTGTAAACCTCCTGGCAGCAGCTGCCCTGATCCCCACAGGAAGCAGTTGCCTTATCACAGAGCCTGGATCCTGCCCAGTATTCTTAATCTGGAGAAGGCACTGAAGTGAGTCAGAAAAACCTTCCCGTCCCCAGGACCTTTCTTCTTGGGGATATTTCTCCATCAGGGGAAGCCGTGGGCCTCAAGCCTCGGTGTGTAAGAGGAAAAAATCTCTTTAAGTGCAGAGCAAAGCAGCAGGGTTGCTATTGTTCTTGGTTTACTTTCAGGAGGACAGCCCAGGGAGCAGAGCTATTTAGCCTTGCCCCTCTTGTTAGCCAGGAAATAGATAAACGTTATAGCATCACAGGGAAAATATAAAGACGACCATAAAGCAACAGGCAGAGAGGCATACGCTGTCATGGAAAAGCTTTGCTGGGGTTTTGGAGCTAGAAGGATGGGGGCTGAGTCCCAGCTCTGCCCTTCAGTACTGTTTGGCTTGGGGGCGAGTGACTTGATCCCCCACAGCCTCAGTTTTCTCATCTGTAAGACGGGCAAAGAGCATGCACCCCACTGGGTGGTTGTGAGGTCAAGGTGACTACCATGGGAAGCCCCTGTTTGCTTTGAACAATGGCAGCCCTCTTGGAATAGTGTAGCCTCCCAAGGTGACCCCCTTGAAGAGTGCCAGTCTCTTGGGATGTAAGAGCTGGGTGTTTGTAACCAAACAGTGGGGTTACCCTGGAGACACATACCTCCTTCTGTGCAAGGTCTAAAAAAGGGCTGTAAGAGGGACCTGGGTTGTGTCAGCTCCCTGTCCTGATGTGCTATCTCTTAGAGCCACCTCAAGTGTGAGCAGTTCATCCCAAGTCTCATCCCAAGTCTGTGACACTTCACTCACAGCCATCTTTACTGGACTTTTTCATAGATAATTGTTAATCCTACCCACACTCCAGAAGGCAGGCATTAATAAGCTCTTTCAATGATTCCAGGCTTCATATCTAAAAAGCAGCAAGGTAAGGACCCAAACACAGGGTTCCTAGCCCAAGGACAGTGTGTTTGTGGGAGCTCCTCATGGCACTCTCTGCACCTAGAGGCACCCGCTGTGCCCACGGTGGCACTCTTCTCCAATTCACCACCCAGTCTTGCACTGAGTGTGGTGCTAAGGCAGAAATGAAAGTTCCCTGATGTTTTTATCTCCCCAGCCAGCCGTTTGATGCAGGCTAAGTGAGAGAAGGCAATTTCTATGGATTCCCCAGGCTCCAGTTTATCTTTTTTTTTGTTATTGTTGCTCAAGCTTTTGGTGTTCTATCTAAGAATCCATTGCCAAATTTGAGGTCATAGAGATTTACTCCTGTGCTTTATTCTAAGCGTTTTATTTAGCTCCTACATTTAGGTCATTGATCTTTTTGAGTTAATTTTCATATATGGAGTGAGGTAGGGATTCAGTATCATTCTAGTATATGCGAACATCCAGTTGTCCTTGCACTATTTGTTGAAGAGACTATCTTTTCTCTAGTGTATTGCCTTTGCTCCTTTGTCAAATATCAGTTGACGTATATATGTGGCTCTATTTCTGGGCTTTCTATTCAGTGCCAGTAATCTGTCTGTACTTTTATGAATACCACGCCATTTTATTACTGTATCTTTATAGTAACTCTTAAAGTTGGGTAGTGTCAATCTTCCAACATTGTTCTTCTCTTTCAATTTTGGGTTGACTATTCTGGATGTTTTGCTTCTCCAAATAAACCTTAGAATCAGTTTGTTGATATCCATAAAATAACTTGCAGGATTTTGATTGGGATTGTCTTGAATCTATAGATCAAGTTGGGAAGAACTGACATCTTGACAGTATTGAGTCTTCCTATTTTTGAACATTGACTATCTTTCAGTGTTTTCATTTATTTACTTCTTTGATTTCTTCAATCTAGTTTTGTAGTTTTCCTCATACAGATCTTATATATATTTTATTAGCCTCAAATTTCTCATAATTGAGTATGATATTAACTATTGGTGTTTTGTAGATGCTCTTTATCAACCTGAGGAAGAAGATCCCCTTAATTCCTAGTTTGCTGAGAGTTTTTATCATGAATAGGTGTTGGATTTTGTCAAATCCTTTTTCTGCATTTATTGATATGATCGTGCAATTTTTCTTCATTAGATTGTTGATATGATGGTTTATATTATTTGATTTGTTTTTTTTTTTCTTTCTTTCTTTTTTTTTTTTTTTTGAGACCATCTTGCTCTGTTGCCCAGGCTGGAGTGCAGTGGTGTGATTTCTGGTCACTGCAACCTCCACCTTCCAGGTTTAAGAAATTCTTTGCCTTAGCCTCCCGAATAGCTGGGATTACAGGCATGTGCCACTATGCCCAGCTAATTTTTTGTGTGTTTTTAGTAGAGGTGAGGTTTCACCATTTTGGCCAGGCTAGTCTTGAACTCCTGACCTCATGATCCACCTGCCTCGGCCTCCCAAAGTGCTAGGATTACAGGCGTGAGCCACTGCGCCCAGCCTATTATTTGATGTTTTAATATTGAACCAGTTTTGTGTACCTGGAATAAATCTCACCTGATCATGGTATCTAAGACCTTTTATACATTCTTGGGTTTAATTTGTTAATATTTGTTGAGGATTTTTGCATTTACATTCATGAGAGATATTGGTCTGTAGTTTTCTTGTAATGATTTTTTCTGGTTTAGGTATCAGCATAATGATGGCCTCACAAAATGAGTTAGGAAGTATTCTCTCCACTTCTATACTCTGGAAGAGATTATTGAGAATTGGTATAATTTCTCCCATAAGTGTTTGTTAGAATTCACCAGTGAACTCACCTGGGCCTGATGCTTTCTTTCTTTGCAAGGTTTATTGATTAGATTTCTTTAATAAATATAGGCCTATTAAGATTGTCAATTTCTTTTTTGTGTGAGCTTTGGCAGATTGTGTCTTTCTAGGAATTGGTACATTTTATCTAAGTTATCAAATTTGTAGGCATAAACTTGTGCACATTTGTGGGCATAGAGTTGTGTATTTCTTTTATCCTTTCATGTCTATGAGACATTCCCATGTCTGTGGGAACTGTAGTGATATCCCCTTTTTCATTTCTGATATTAGTAATTGGTGTCTTTTCTGGTTTTTCTTAGTTAACCTAGCCAGAGTTCTATTGATTTTATAGATC